ATAATTGTCCAAAGCTCTTGACCAATATGGAAGTCACCACGAGCCTTAATAGGGGACCCACATCACCAAGTCCCATACAAGACACCATATGCACATTCCAGTTCTTAATTGGGATGAAAGCATCATCCTGGTGATTTAGAGAGCGTGGCAGCACCATAGGCTCTACAAAAGAAAGAAAAATGGGTTAGCCATGTAATGGTGAAATTATATCATGTTTAAGCTGCAGGACAGCAATGTACAATGATTGCATATCTTATTATCTCTAAAATATTATAAGAGTGATCAAGAGCAAGGGCATTTAAGGACTAAAGAATGTGTTGGTGTGATGTTCTTTATAATGGGTTGTACATTATGATTAGCTGATGGTACATGTCTTTATTAACCATTCTTTCTCCGTCTTCTAATATAGACACAATTAACGACAACATCCTCTCCTCTTCATACAAAGATATTTTTTCCTTCATACTCTGCCTTGCAATCAGGCAATCAACTGGACGTCGGATCACAATCCACCTTCTTCTGAGTATACTATGGCCGTGGCGGCGTAGACACCACAAACTTGTCCAACGATGTTCTCTTTCATTTATCTATTGATTTCTAGATTGAAAATTAAACTAATTGAATTGATTAAATAATCGATCACTTATATATGATTGATCTTTTTGGGTGTATGGCAGGAAGTCTGTGAGAGGAGAGGAACAATATCTGATTAAGTGCTTAAAATGTGTTCCCCAAAGAGGAGAAAGTAATATCATCGGTTTGAGAGCAAATCATTGATTGTTGCAAATAGATAATGACTTCCGGTGGGAGTCATGTGAAAAGAGGAATCACTGGTCGTTAACAAATTTCTATGATAATACATTATACATCTCTTATTTGGTATGTTTTTATTTCACAGTTTTGATCACCTTTTTGTTTCCTTGTTCTTTTTCATTTGTTGGAATTTTTGGATAAGTGTTCTCTAATGTCCTCTATTATTGGCTTATCGGAATCCATTACTAATTATTTACTCCTTTTTAGTTACAGATAGGTCAGATCCCTCTATACAAGTATATTATTTATATAGTCATCAACAACTTTCACTCCTGGGTCACATATTACTGTTGGGTGTGTTTTGAAAAACAATGAAAATAATTAACAAAAATTAATTAAATAAAATGACTAAACGAAAATAGAAAATAGATGAAGAAGAAATAGTCAAAGTTCGTGCTACGCACGATATCCTTAAAACATATTTGTTGTCTCCTGGGGTGCTAGGAGCGTTGCAACGATCATTTCCCAGGATACGATGACTACAAACACTAGTTTAGCACTTAAACCAAAGTTCCAACGAACGAGAACAAGTGTGAACACGGAGGAATGTTTTCAGAAGCTAGAGGTGTTTATCAGAGGTGCAAAAACGTGCATGGAGTGTATGAATTCGTGTATGTTGTAAAGCCACCAGCTAGTCAATTTATATGGGAGGATTTGGGTGTGTTAATGGCCTGTTTATGGCATATGAACGTTGGACATCAATGTCCTAAACGTTGGGCATTGATTCTAACAAAAACAGTCCAAAACCGAGCCGCATTAAGGCACAAAGATGTTGGCCAGTTAATAGAGCAAAAAATAGGAACGTTACGGAAGAACAAAAATTAACGTTATCTTAAGAAGATAGATTTTCGGACGGCATTCGTGGCCTCTTTTTTCATTAAACATGAGTTACATTTCAGGGCACAAGTTACATTTGTTGTTAACTGAAGTTACATTTGTAGCAACCTGAGTTACATCTAATTATGCACAAGTTACATCATTCATGCTACTAGGATGAAAATAAAAAAACAATTACTGTACACACGTGTACTATTCTCGCGTGTACTGTTCACGCAAATTTTAAAAAATGATTAAAATTACATCGTTTTGGGCGTGGAGCATGATGCTCACCGTAAGATGATCTCATGGTATACCAACTGACATTTATCCAATTCAAAACAATAATCAATCTCTAAAGTAGACAATAACCTTCGGTTTGAATTCATTCTTCCAAACCTAGCCTAGAGATTATCAACGGGCTGGGCTGGGCCACACAAGTCCAAAACTAATGGGTTCGGGCTGGGCATTGTTGGGCTCAATATATTAAAATTAATTAAAGGGCCTGGCTCAGTCGTTCTGGTTTTTTTTTGTAATAAAATTGCAGCTTTATCCCTTTCACATAGTTTGGCTCAAGGGGTCGGGCCGGGTTGGCCCACATGTCACTCATAGGGCTGGACCTAGATGGGCTTACAAGAAAAACACAAAAATGCTTATCAATTATAAAATGCAATGTGACCGTAAATGAGTGAAAAGAATTATTACTTCAAAAAATTAATAATAAAAGAATAAATTTCAAATATATAACCAAAATAAAAATAGAAGACAAAAATGTAACTCTACTAACTTTAATGACTATAATTATATTCAAATTTTACATCATAGTAACTATTTAACTTACCGATAATAACGTATAGTCACATTTCTGTCCATAGTTTTTTTATTAGTAATATTTTTTAGAAAAACCTCATAATAAAATGAAAGCTCATCAAATTATCTATATCTAATTTTTTGGTAGTGCACTCTTGAAAAAGAGATATACAAATAGGGAAACATCATACTTATTCCACTTTATCTAAATTCTATAGTTCTATCACAAACTTTTATCATCTTCAATCATCTATAATTTCATTCTCTTATACTCCCTCCGTCCCGTTAGAAGGTTCTCATTTCTATTTTAGGAAACAATTAACAATCTTAAGTGACAAATTAGTCATTAAATATTACAAATAATACATTTATAACATCACAATTATCAATACTAACACATTATAATATATACCTATTAAAATTATTTCTCAAAATATACCCGAAGTACTTTATTTAATTATAGCCTAAATAACCGTGTCGTTTTGCTATGGGAAACCTTCTAGCGGGACGGACGGAGGTAGTACTAGTTTATCTATGTATCCAGGTCCTAGCCAAAAGCAAATGACAAGGTGCAAACAAGTCGGGGATCAGTTTTCAACTCGAACTTCACTACTCAAGTGAGCTTGTTAAGCAATTGACCATATTAATCCAGTTAAAGGTTATTATAATTGGCTTGACTCGTGATATATATACTATTAATAAGCTATATAATCGATCATAAATAAATTATACTACCTTCGTTCTTAAATAAATACAACATATTGATTTTCACACTATTTACATATTTTACTTTTACTACGATTTATTCATTCGTGTATTAACAAATTATTTTTTAAAAAATATTGTTAAATTTGTCTTATGGTAAGTTTTCAAAATCTGATTTTTTACTAATACAGAATTAACTATACTAATAGTCAAAGTAGTACATTTGCAAACGTAAAAAGTTGTCTGTCGCATTTATTTAAGAACAGAGGTAGTAGGAGGTAGTAGTAGGAGGTAGTATTATGTATTTATACATAGTACGATACTACCTTTAAATAAAACCTTACGTCAAACACTAAGTCAAAATTATTACGCTCATACAAGTTCGACTAATCACCAATTTGAGTTTCAACACCCCAGGATCAAGCTCTGTCGTTACACCCTAAATGCCTAGGAGAGATATTACGCGAAATAGGAGTAAAAAAGTTTGAAAGTTCCAAAATAAGACTGCCATGTTTTTATTCTCAAAATAGGACTAATTACTACCATGTTTTGGCAGTACCAGAATTCGATCATGGCAATATTTTTGAAACTTGACAGTAATTACTCCTGTTTTGGGAATAAAAACATGATAGTCCTATTTTAAAAATTTCAAACTTTAGAAGTCCTATTTCGAGAACTTTCACATGTTTTTATGCTCAAATATAATCCGTAGTATGCACAAATAGCTATTAAATACTACTTCCGTCTTACTACCAATGGGACATAAGGCGGAAGTGCGATTATTTAAAAAATGGGTTTATGTGATTAATATTAAGTTGGTAAACTAAGAATAAAGTAAGAATGATTTAGAACCACACAAATTATGATAAAATTAGTACTCCCTCCGTCTCCGAAAAGTTGCACCAAATTGACTTTTCTTGGTCAATGGCGATCAACTTTGACTGGTGATATTTTTTAGTACGAAATTATTTTGAATATGAAAATTATATTAAAATGTTCCTTATTCTAAATATTTTCATAAATGTATAATTTATAAATTATATACAAATATAATACATGAAATCGTTTCCATAGTTTGTCATTTTGACCAAGAAAAGTCAATATGACGAACCTTTTCAGGACGGAGGTAGTGTTAGACAATCTTAGTGGGAAGTACTGAAAAAGAAAGATGAGACAATTTTAGCAGAATAGAGAAAATAAAAATTTTATATTTATGTCACTCAAGATATTACTTACTCAGTTACTCATTAGAGTTCTTCCATTTTTTTAGAGAAGTTTTCAATCCAAAGCGGCCCAATGGACACAATTTGACTATTTGAGTGGTGGTCTACACTTGTAGTTCCGGTCTGACTTGATTTTAAAACTGAGTCCATTCTCAAATGTGAGTCTCTCCCAACAAGTTGTTATTTAAATCACTTATCCCAAAATAAAATTTGATTCTATTGATATATAATGAATTAGTCATCTACTCCGTATTAACTATTCATGATTAGTAAAACATTATTATCCATATCAAGATAATTCAGAAATCACAATTATTTTTTAGAGCTTTCTCATTCATTATAAACACACCATTAATATCAACTCTATTAAAAGTATGCTTAATATATTCTCTCCTCCCATCTTTTCTTATTTCCGTCCATTTCATAACAGATTCATATTTTTTAAATTTATAGATGGGTATAAATTGCTTAGTCATGTGAATAAATAAAACTGAAGCCCAACAATTTATATAACTAATTGCCTGAAGCAACATCATGTTTTCCACAACATTTTCATTATTAGTTTCTCATGTTTTCTTCTTTATATTTGAAGAAATGTTTTTATGTTAGTACTCTATTTGTGGATTTCTTTCCCACTTTTTCCTTCTGTTTAGCGCAGGGCAACCAACCAACAAACAATAACATATGCAAAGTATATCTGATTTCTTGTCGACAGCACACAAAAGTAATAACATTGACATTAACTGGAGAAGTGGAGAGGGAAATCAACACTGCATGACAGAGCACATGTTCAACGTTTGTGTAGCTACTTTTGATACATATATTAGTTGATCTTTTGTGCTCTCCTACAAGAGATGATCGTAAGTACTAGCCGAGTAGCCGGACAACATTCATGTTAAATGCGTTTTGGAGGAACGTAGGGCACATTCGAATCTTGACACAGATTCTGCACCAGCAAATGAGAAAAAACGTCTAAGATCCCGAGATATAAAACAAGAATTAACTGAATAGATCACATTCTTTCCAGAATTCCAGCACGAGTACAAAATATATACCTGCAAATCTTCAGAAAGTGCCTCTGAAACTGCAAGTGTGTAACAACCTGGGACAAAACGTGCTGTAGATTTCAAAAAATTAGGATCCGCTTGGAACATGAAAATGCTAATGAAAGAAATTCAGGGGGGGAAGAAATAGAAGGGGGAGAAAAGAACAAAGGGAAAGAAAAAATGAAAAAGAAAAACAACACTTGGGCAAAAGAAAATGGCTCGGATCATTAAAAATATCACATAATTTTACCTGTCAAGGCATATGGGCGAAATGATCGTTTTTAATAGTGAAGACTTATGTCATTCAATAAAGTAATGAATTACATACACTTGTGCGAAAGGTTTTGAAATAGTAGAACGGCTTCTTTGGCCTGATTTCATTTTAAAATGGGCCTATTGGTCAAATGATCATTTTTAATCGTAAAAAGACTTATTCACCACACTCTATATTATATACAGGCGGAGAAATCTAAATCTCATGTAAAATTGTAAGCAGTTGTAGACTTTAGTCAAATTTGACATCCTTTGTAAACCTCAGGGTAAAGCCAAATCAAGTTTGAACCCATTCACATTTAGACATGAAGAACAATAATAGATGTTTATCTTCAATTTCATCATCCCTTATATAGTAAGATTTTCTTATCAGATGATAGTTCATTATACTTTACTACTCCGTATTAGCTTGACACTATAAACAATAAATAAATACGTAAATAATATTAAAGATATAGAGTGCAAGCAAAGTGAGAAACAAAACATAAGTACCATCTTATAATTGCACGAATTAATTTCTCAAGTAAAATATTAGTTGTTTGGCACCTATAAACACAGTTAAAGGATTGGACAAAGTAATATCCTTTTTTAATGAAGAACACCTTGTGATGGAAAACAACTCCCCAAAAACAGGTAGCACAAATTGCAAAATGTGCATCAGAAATGAAATACTCTTTAGCCAAGCTAACCAACATGATTCGAACATCAAAACAAAACAAACAAACAGAGAACAGAGCAAAAGCGCTAAACAACTTATAAAGCTTAAGAGCATGCACCAAGGCATCCTAAGCATAAATTCAACACCAACCAAAAGCACAACAGTACCACACTCGGTATGATCCCAATCCCTTGCATGCAGAAACCAATAGCAACTTCACCCAAAACCGCCCCAAAACCACCACCCCTACACAGAAACATCACATCAGTCACTAAAGAAAGGAACTTTTTCCCAGTGCCCAAGACACGGCAGCTTCACCACAGAGAATAAAAATTGTACATGGGGCTGCCGCCTGCCACAAAAGCCATGACACACGCTTCTGACCCATTCTTTGTCCTATACTGTTCCAACTCTATGTCCTGCCCCCAAGCCAGCAACACTTCCATTCTCTACCCTTAAGCCTCACCCTGTCCCAACCCATCCGTCCTCATTCCCTGACACCACCATTTCACCAACTGCCTCCATCTCACTTTCCTTCTTCCCCACCAAAGATACCATAAAAACCATGGTAGTCTAACTCGAGATCCTAGGTAGGATCGGAAGGAGTCCTAAAGATCTTAAATTGCAGCATCGTAACTCAGTTCGCAAGATCCTACTTTTAATTATAAATATTATAGTATATGTATGTATAATTAGATATTGAATAGAGTTCATAAATAATAGTAATCACAGTAACATAGAAATTGACAACATAGTAATAAAGGAAAAAATACAGATGTAAAACAATGTATTAAACTAATAAAAATAAAGATGTATTAAACCAATGTAATAAATTAATACTTCGTATATTATAAATTGAAAATTCCTACAGATCTGTAATGTAGAATATAACAACATAAACCTTAAAGGAACAAACCAAACACTCTTCATCTGCGCCGTCTAATCATAGAATGAAAAAGATCAACCAAAGTTTACTTGGAGGTCGACGCAGTAGCTAACAACATATGAAGAATTGGAAAAGATATGGAGACATGAAAAGACATTCAATAAAGAAAAGATCGCAGGGGCAGGGGATCCACGCAGGAATATTTCGCTAAATTTCAAAGCGACTCCGTTCAATTTTCCGCATGTTACCCACAAGTTTTGACGCCTCAGGATTCTTTTTCCATGTTTCCTAAACTTCAGAAGTCATTCAAAATTACTACAACTAATAGGATTGAATCGCAATTCAACTGCAATTCTACGATCCTACGACTAAACACACCGATCCCAGTGATGCACCAGAATATTATTTTTGAACCCATGGGCTCATGGTCAAACAACACCTTAACTTTGGAGCAACAATACACCAAAGTCCTGTTTTTCCCTCTATCTTGGTGCATCTTTTGGAGATGTCCCAATGCCTACTCTGGTCAGCTGATCAAAAAACATCTCTTTGAATTTTTTTATTAAAAAATGGAAAAAACTGAATAGATTTGAAAGAAAACCAAATTCTAACTTTGGGGATGTAAAAAAAATTACAACTTACTGCTACGTCTAAATCATTTAATCTTAGTATACCCTAACCTTGATATACTTAAAATTCCAAAGTGTTGTTCTGAAACAGAAATAGAATATACTGGCGCATACCTATACGAAGCCAGCGAGCAGCCCAGCTCCTATTAGGATCCATGACTGAGATTATACTGCAAAAAGAGTATAACTCTGAGAGATTAAGCCAATGGTGATATTTTAAAAACATACTCACAGCATATGCACGGTTTGATACCCATTGAAATTAGGCGTAGTGCAATCCACAACAAGCTCGCTATCTTCTTCCATCTTAAAGAAGGGACAATTCTCGCATCCAGATTCTCTGAACTGCAACGTTTCCAGTAATCGCATTTTTATTTTTAATATTATATTCGAGTATAAACGAACATCAATGCCACTACATATAAACCATCATAGCAAGAAGGGAACCTGGTCGTAGGTTTTGACGAGACGGCAGCGGAGGCAAGCCCTCAGTTCGTGACCAAAGCTCGTCGGGATTTGTGCTGCCGTTTGGTTACTACCCATTCCTTCCTTATTTTTCTTCCCTCCCTTTGGAAATTCTCTTACCTTCTAGTCTTCAACCTTTTCAATCGATTTACGATCAAGTCAGGGCAGAGCTTTTACGAAAACAAAAAAAAAGTCCCAAATATTGGGCAGTACAAGCACTGCTTCTGCCCTGGCCCTAAATATATTTAAGGCCCAAATAAGAAAATAAAGAAGGGTGAATCTATCCACAGTCCTCTTTCTACTAAATAAAGCCCCAATTTTTCTATAGTACCTTTTATACCCTTAACAATATGTAACATGACACAGCCCCAGACAAATGTATCACGAAGAAAAAGGAAACAACAACACGATGTATATCAATCCCAGCTTCCTAACCCTTCTCGCCCGGATAAAATTGGTAAGCTAAATTCTTGTTGCAATGAGCTCATTGACGGAAGGAGAAGAATTTTTATCATCTCTAGTTCTCTACCCACCGGAAGTTCTCGCCCAGATGAAATTTGTAATCTTCAAAGTTATTTTTGTCTTCTAGTCAGTGGTGCTTATTATCCTCCAAAAGCAATAAATGAGAGCATAAAGATGCGTGTACTAACAAATAGGGTACTGGATCAAACCTTAGAACATTTGACTATTCTGCATGACCATGTGTTGTGCATAGGGTCAAACAATAATAAATTAACAAAGCAGAGCACTAGAAGAAAGTATATAGGTAAAAGAGGATTGAAGCTCTCTCGATGTGTGCTTAAAAATTGCAGAGTTTGGTCATTGGTGCCGGGTAAATACGATAAGTTTATACTCGCTCCGACCATAAAAAACAGACTGTGAATGTGCGTCGACAGTCCTTTGATAAAGAAGATGAAAATAATGAAGAGTTGGAATGATTAATTTCACCATCAGAAAAGCTTCCTGTCGGCAGTGCAAATTCTTTGCTAGTTATGATCGACAATAGACCGGTACGTTATTTCTTTGCTGGTTATGGGCGGAAAATAGGGAATTATTTCTGTTGTTTCCCTCTTTGCAATACGCAGATCATGTTTGCGATTGTGCGGGGAGGCTGTATTACGTTTCGTATTAAGGACATAGTAGGAAAAATGGAAATATGTAGCTGTATTTAGCAAAGGGTGGCTGTAAATAGAATTTCCCAATAAAGAAAGAGGTAAAGAAGTGCAAAATGGGCAAATTATACCGTGGGATCGGTATACCGCGAGCAAGGTATACCGATCCCAAAACGGCACCGTTTTTCCAATTAGAATCGCAAATCACCTTGCTTCACTCAAACAAAAAGCCCGTCACTTCATCTGCAGAGACTTGGTTCCCATCTTCCATCTTCAATTTAGATTTAGCCGCTTCTTGTTCTGCATATGGTCATCTGCAATTCCTATGCCTGCTACACATCTCATCTGCGTGGAAACACTAGGCCGGTCCGTCCTCCCTGTCTTTATTGCGACCATGATTGTTCCATCCCAGATCGAAATAATCAATTATATCTCCCGGAGTCCGTCACTAATAAGATGACGTGCTTCACCGATCGAAAGCCCCAATTAGAAGTCTGGGACCTTACTCTGTTGCTACTTGCTAATCTGCGATAGTACTCTGTATTTACTTCTAGGGACCTTACTTCTATTAATTAAAGCAATATACGAGCAGTGTGGAATTGTGGATAATATAGTAATAGACATATATATTTTGATTTGGGCTAAAGTTATATTTCAATTAACACGAATTACATTTTGGATTATCATAAATTACATTTCAATTAACGTGATTTACATTTTTATTTTCCTCAAGTTACATCTTTTACACCTCAAATTACATTTTGATTTTCCTAAAGTACATATTATAACATGCGGTTTACTTTTCACATATGAAAAATGATCAAACTACTAGAGAGAGTAACATGAATTTTTCAGGGCACAAGTTACATTTGCCGTTCACTGAAGTTACATGTTTAATAATGCGAGTTACATTTTATTACAAAGGATTTACATCGCGAAAAAAACTTGAAAAAATTCACAGTTACTGTTCATCAGCGTTTTTTATTTAATAATTAAGTCAAATAACACATATGGGAGTATAATCCTCCTCGTGGGCTGCTCCCACGATATAACAACTCCGCAAAATGAGTTTCCGTTGGTCCGGATATCCCAACACCACAGGAATAAGAAAAGACAAACCTTCTGAATCGGGCTCTATAGGACCATCCTAATTAGGGGTGGGCATAACGATTTGGTTTAACCGAATCAATACCTAACCGAACTAAATCGAATCGAAATCGGACCGTATGGAATTTGGTTTAAATTTGGTACTATTTCTTCTAAATCGTATTAAACCGAATCGAATCGCAACCGATAAAATCCGAACAAAACCGAACCGAACTAAAGAAATTCAAAAAAACCTTCATATATTATTAAATAGGGGGAATTTGACCGTGCACCCCACATTTGGGATGAAATTGGACTTTGCACCCAATTTTAAAAAAACTTTGATTTTGCATCTCATTTCACTTCAAAATTCTTTGACTTTGCACCCCATTTTGAATTTTTCCTTCACAAATGTTAAATGATAGGGTGCAAAGTCAAATGTTTTTTAAAATGGGGTGCAAAGTCCAATATCACCCAAAAGGTGGGGCGCAAATTCAAATTTTTCCTATTAAATACTATGTATTAACAAATCCAAATCGAACCAAACCGAACTAAACCGAACCTAACCAAACCGAAAAATAGTATGATTTTTGTTTGGTAATAATTCTTCCAACCTGTTCCAAATTGAACCGAACCTGATATACAATGCCGGCCTTAAGGTCAGTTTGGCCAGGCGAGTGCCTAGGGCCTCCAAAATGTGGAGGGCCTCCAAAAAAGGAAGGCCCATTACTGTTATAATTAAAATATAATTTTTGTATACAATAATTAAAATTGAACGGACAACTCATGTTACTCATGGAACGGCAGTCGGTAGAAGAAATGTATAAATTGACCGTATGAAAAACTTTGCAAATTCTTCCGATCTTCCGTCAATTACTCAATTGTATAAGTTGAGATCTTTTCTTTAGTAGTTAGTCTTTATTCCTTACATTAGTATTTGTGTCTTATTTACTCCATATTTAATCAATTGCTGCTACTCTGCTAGTTTGCAGTCTGCTAGTAAGTAATGGATATGGGAGTAAGGGTTTAAGGACTTGGGGTAGTGCATTACTGCATTAGAGTGTGGTGTTGCCTAACTTTATTGAGTATTGTTGTGTAGGTGTTTCTCTTATTCTAATTTGGGGACATTTTTATTAGTTGTTCTTCTTTTCATTTTTGGATAAATATACTTATATAGGAATGTTAACGAACCGAGCTTTTATCGAACTATTCGAGTTCGAGCTCAATTTTGAACTTAACGAGCCGAGCTTAACGAACTTTCAAACTCGAACCCGAGCTGAGTTTTAAGTTCGAAAAATTAATCGAGCCGAGCTCGAACATAGTAGTATTCGGCACGGTTCAAACTCGGGCCTATCGATCACCCTGAAATTATAAATATAATTTATATATATGTCAAATTTTAAATATACTTAGTGTGATTTGATGAATTTAAATATGATTATTAACGAATCGAACAATTGTCGAATCATTCGAGCACGAGCCTATTAACGAGCATTAGCTAAAATTTTGAATTCGAGCATATTTATCGAGCGCTCGGTTTGAACATCGAATGCCTATCAAGCCGAACACGGGCCTCATTTGTAAAGCTCGCCGAGCTTCGAGCTCGAACCCGAACATCACTTATATGCTCTCATTCTCTTTCTTACTTTTTCATTTTTTTCCCTACTTTTTCATTTAAACACAACTAACCGCACCTTTTATATTAGTCAAAGTTAAGAGGACTAGTCGTAATAGAGAACGAAGGGAACATGTTTATTTAAGCTTTTGTGAAGCTTGTCCGTCTAGGGCCTCCAAATTGCTGAAACCGAACCCAAAACCGATATGCTCGGCCCTAATCCTAACACTGCTTTGTCACTCTCCCGGCTCCATTTTCGTTCTTGGTGATTTTATTATGCTTGGTTCTTCCTGTTTATTTTTTAAAGATTGCAACTTTGTTGGGAAATCGTTTTGCATGTATATTTTGATCGTAATCAGTGTTTGAGATTTGAATATTTTATCTTTACGGAGTATTATAAAATACGGAGTAGGATATTATTGAATACTACGGAGTATCTATGCTCCATACTAGTTGAATACGGAGTATTAAATACTGTAAGAAATGAGTTAAGCGTCTCAGAATCAATGAGCTGATGGGATAAGCACATTCATATACTGTAAAAGGGAATATGCCTGCCTCGTCGCTTACTGCTTCTGCAATTTCCCAAGTCTTGGCGGTTAATAATTCCCTGAAATTATCGTTTTTTCCGATTCTGTACGGAAGTCGCTCCCTTTTGCCTTCTCCTGCCGGAAGGAGCTTCAGAAACCATTTCCGTACTCCTCTCCGGGTCCGATCATTTGGGTATTTCTCAAATTTCTTCATTACTGTTAAACTTGATATCTTCTTTCTTTCTTCTTCTTCTTCCAACATAATAGCTGTATTTGGGGATATAGTAGAAGCTGGGTTTTTAAATTCCACAGGTGTAAAGTAGTTAAAATCCATAAGACTGAATATATTAAGATTGTTTATGGGCGGTGAAGATGTATGCTGTAGGAAGGTTAGGAAGCTATATCTCCAAAGGCGTTTATAGTGTTTCCACGCCGTTCCACCCATTTGGGGGCGCTGTAGATATTATTGTGGTGGAGCAGCCAGATGGTACCTTCAAGTCTTCTCCGTGGTATGTTCGATTTGGAAAGTTTCAGGGGGTTATGCAGAGGAAGGAGAAAGTGGTAAATTTAGTTGTCAATGGTGTGGAAATTGATTTCCATATGTATTTAGGGAGTGATGGCCAAGCCTGCTTTCTAAGTGAGGTGGATGTAGAAGAAGGGGATAATCTGTCCTCTCCTCCACCATCTTCCGGTGAGGATACTGGTAGCCATCCCAAGTGTAGGAAGCCGATGAAGTCGAAAAGTTACGATTTCAAAGGTGTAAATACAAGGAGTTCAGGGATTTTAGGGTACATGTTTGGCAAGAAATCATTCAAAGAAAGGGATGTTCAGCTCGTCAGGTTGAACTCATTGGAGCGTGCCCAAATTGCAGCTAATCTTTTGGAGGTGAACTGGTCTACGAATCTAAAAATTCCTTCTCATGATCTACCAAATGAGAGTAATGCCAATCATAACTCATCATTTGTCGATAAAGTGAACAATAAGACAAATTATCCGGATCCCTCTGCTGTCCCTGATGAGGAAGGTGTCTCAATTGATCATACAAATTTTTACTTATTTCAAGAAGATAACATGACCAAAATGAATTCTGTGATTAATTCAAACTATTCTGGAATCACCATAGACGAAGAGATTTCCAAAACCGCTGTGACTATTTCAAACAGAATTGTGGACGGACAAGCGGCTACATTGAATGAAAAATATTCTCAACGTGTCTATCTTCTTCCATTAGATAGCTCTTCTGAGCGAGTAGAACAGCAGAGTAGTACACTGTCATCAGAAAGCTTGGAGGTGGAGCATCTCATATTTGGTGACCTTGATGATTTAAGTCCTAAAAACATAAAAACCAATATACTTGATGACTCTTCTGTTGAAAACAGAGTCAAGCTGTTATCTGTTAAAAGCGACATTAGTGTTCCTTCCTCATCTGAAGCTCAAGTTGATGATGTTTTAAGGATGACCAAGTCGTTGCCTGCTAAGTGGGCTCATGACAGTAATTTTTGTAGTAGACCAAATCATCAGAGGTCATCTGAGGTATCACAGGAGAGTGAAAATGGGATGGTCATCGAGGAAGTGGATATTAGGCCTGTTCAGCCAGAAACTGGTAAAAGTGGTACTGTTCATATTTTTAATTTTTTAATTCAGTAAATTGTCATTGTTATTGTAAAGCTTATGACTATGCCTTCATTTCATAGTGAACAATAAAATAGTGGTTTCTTCTTAAAGATATTAAATATCAAAACTTGCAGTTATTAA